TCGATGGTCCTTCAGGCCTCGGATTACGGAGCTTCTGCAAAAACTCTGGATTTTTCAGGGCTCTGCAGCAGCCTCCGCCCGCAGGCGTCGGAAATGCTGGCCGATGCGTCCATCGTGCCGGCCTTCATTCGCCTCTGTGGAGCCACTTTCGGCCACGGTTGTGCCATGGGCCTCCAGGCCGGGAGCTCAAGGCCTCTCTTTGATTTGAAGCCGCCGCCTGCGGGACCCTCTGGAGGTCACGCTCCCGGAGACCCTGGTGGTCGGCAAAGGTTGCTTCTTTGCCACCGGCAACATCTTGACCAGCGTCGACGTGGACCGCGGAGAGTTCAAGGTGCCCTGTGTCACTCGCATGAGCCGCTTGGATCGCCTTTTCCATGCAAAGAAGCGACGCTCTCAATTCAGTAGAGCCAACGCATGCCACCACCTGTCTGCTTGAGGTGATCACACTTTCCTCGGCAACCACAACCACCTGCCCCAAGGCCTTCCAGAAGGCAGCTTCTGCGGCGTGGGCACCTGGCTGCCTGAAAGACCCACCGAGCCGCACTACAGCTACTTCGGGAATCCGGCGATGAAGTTCAAGCGCCTGAGCAGCCAAGCTGCGGGCAAGACAAACCAAGGCCCAGAACCAGCCAGTTGCCTGGCACGCTTCTGGCATCACTTCAGCACCAGCGTGCTGGACGTCTTCCTTTACCGAGGGGTTCAAGGAGCCGGTACCGCATTGCATTCAGTTCCAGTCTCGTTCTCTGGAAGAGGCTTCCTTCCTCTCACTCTAAGTGCGTCGGGAGTCCCTTTCCCGGAAGGAATGGTGACCGGCGCTGCCTTCGTGGTGAGCCGGACCAGCGTGCCTGACATCACCTCCGTTTGGCAGGTCTTCGAGGTCCTGGCTATCTACTTGGTCTTCTCGCTGGGCTCCTGGTTCATCTTCTCCGTCTTGCTGGGCAACATGCTCTTCAACGGCAAGGCACCGCGCAGCAACGAGCCCTGGCTTGACCACTCGACTAGCTCCTGCTTCAACTCCCCGCAGGGTCTTTAGTGTAGCGCCTGTCCAAGGCGTACTACTCGACCACTGTGACGCGATGGTTTACTGCCCTCACGGCCCAGCAGCGAGTCTTCAAGCTTCCCTTTCAGGCGCACACTGGCGCTCCCAGCTTCAGCTTGTCATTTAAGTGGTTGTTTCGATGGTTTTGTGATGGCAGACGGCTGGCAGCTGTTGGCAAGCCCCGATCCTGCGGCTGCTGGGTGCAAAGATTGGTCGGCGTTTCTTTTGCATGCACCCCGGCCAGACTTCATGCAGCAAGGCGTTTCCTGTTTTCTAGCCAGGCGTGCACCAGGACTGGAGACGTCATGGTGGCCACCACTGACCATTGTCATCCACGTTCAAAGTTGTGCGTGTCTCTGTCAGTGTGTGCATTGTAGTTAGTCTGAGGAACGAGCTCGTCCTGGTTGATGCACCCTTCACAGACATCGGGGACGATGTGACGGTGGACTATGATGGACAGGTGAGGTGTCATTCATTCGAGGAGTGCCGCAGTGTGGGGCTTTGCTTGCCAAGTGCAATCTGCCAACTCCACTGCACCTGCAAGTCCTACAGGCCTACAGGCCTCGCAGGCCTCGTGTACCTCCACTGACATCATTTGGATTTGAGCAGAATTTTCAGTGGTCGGGGCGAGCTTTCGCATGTTTCTGGTTATGGACTGTTGGCGAGTTGTCCTGATGCTTTGCAAGGCTTTGGACTTCAGACTTGTCGCACTTACTGTTCGCACGGTTTGACTTTTCGTGACTTGTCTCGACCTGGTTGGGTTGTTAGTGTCACGACGATGAACGCACTCCCCGAAATGCTTTTCGAAACCTTTCTCGCCGTTGCCTTCGTTCTCCAGAAAATGAGCAGAAAGAGAACCGTTGTGCAGAACGTACTGTGACGGACGTCGTCCGGTTTCAATGGTACTGTGCTCGTATTCGCCTTTGCTGTTCTATCAAGAACTGGAGTGGTGGCGTTCGATGTCATAGCGGTCATTTTTCGCTACCGTCGCCGCCGTCGTCGCATCAGCTGTATTTTCTGCTGCTGCATGTTGTTGAATTGCTGCGACCGATGAGTGTGTCGGAACCATGCCGGCGCGTGTCGTCTGTCGTTGCTCATGCGAACACAGATCCATGCGTGCAATCACCCTGCTAAAGTACAGTGAATTGCTATAATATGGCTGTGAGCTTATCGGGGCAGGGCAGTGGGGTAGATGAATTGTTGCCTCGGAGCTCAGCCCGGGTCCGGGCCACTGGAAGGACTTCCGCCTGAAGTTCACTCACTACAAGATTGGGAATGGGGCGACCATCATGACCGGAGCCAGTGTTTCTTGCCGTCACCTCCGTCCTTGCAGGACCTGAAAGCCTCATGCACGCCTCCTGCCCAATTAAAGCAAAAGTAGACGGTCCAGCGCCGACAAAGGTTGCGATGTGCGATGCCGGAGACGGCTCGACGCTGCGACCCGGAAGCCTGACCTGGAAAGGCCACCCCGGTGTCGAATGCACTGAAGTGATAGAATTGCTGAGATCGTTCGACTGGATACAAGAAGGCCAAGCCGAATTGTAGCTCCTTTCACACTCCTCCAAATGCCATGAGCAATCTTGAGCAACCATCCGCTTCCTCCACTTTGTCAGGAAGCAACCTGGTGCCCGGCGGGACCTACGAAGGTGCAAAGATGCAAAGCTGTGCAGAGCTACTAAGCACTCGGCAGACATGGCAGAAACGCCGAAGCCCAGAAGCCAGAAACATCCAGAGACTCAGAAAGCAGATCCTTGGCTTACCTTGGCGCGGCTCCTGCGCCCAACTTTGACAGGTGCTCCTGCAGCGGCGGTGGGCGACGTTGAGCACGGAAATCAGTGTTCTCAGTTACTGTATCAGCTTTAGTTTCAATAATATTGACATGCAGTTCAACTTGATTGGCCCGCGATAACGTGAAGTACCAAAAACGATAACCTATGTTGCCAAGCCGCAACAACAGTCTTCAGAGTTGCCGCGCGCTCATATGTCATAGTCACAAGTTCATCATGGAGGCTTTCACTGGAACCGAGGTCCTGGGAAAAGTGGGAATCAGCGGCCCTAGCAAATCGAGCCCTGTGCCTTTGCAGGACCGACACTGCTTCAACGCCGTGCAGCTGCGAGCGACGCGAAGTAAGGCCCAGAAAGATCCGGGGCAGTTAGGCTGTCTTGAATGTCTGCTTGCACACTGGACCTGAGGCTATGGAGCAGCATGCTGAATCCCGCATCAGGTATTCCGGCAGAGATGTCATGTGCCATGTTAATTCGCACCCATGTACAGAGCTGTTTAGCCTTCCTTGACAGCAGACTCAGAGGAAAGAGCTATTTTGCATGCAGGCGAGTGACTGCCAGGTGAGAACTACCTGGCCAGGCTCTCCGACAGGATAGTTTTGCTGGGAAGCTCTCTTTTCGAACTGGACGGCCCCGCTGTACAGACTGTGAAGTGCGGGGCAGCCGCGCTGGACCTCGAAGGAAGGGCTCCCCCATCGCTCTCGAAAACTCGACCGAAGCAAGCATCGAGTCGGGGAGGTGGAAGGCGGGGGACCGGGGCTTTCAGGGTGCTATCAGCCCCGAGGTTTAGGAGTCAATCGTTAATCGCGACTCGACAGGTCATGAGAAGGCACTGACTACACAAAGGGGCTTGACTCTGTTTCGGATCGAAATCATCCGTTCCATCCCAGCTGGCTGCGACAGTGAGCGAGTTTGCATACAGGACATATGGTATGTATGTGAGGTCACGTAAACACTGTGAAACGTTGCAATGCCCAATGCTGTGTAAGGTCCAAGAGAGAAAGTCATGCAAGTTATGAGGAAATGTGCGTTCATGGGTCAAGGCAGCGCATCTACAAAATGCAATTTTCGGGCTCTTTGCCTGCCCACATTTTATCCTCCTCTGCATCTTGCAAAGTCTGGTCTGGAACTTGCTTTACCCGCTTGATCTGGTCACTATATTCACTATGCCACAACTGCGGCCATGTAGGTGCAGTGTTGTGCACCTACGAAGGTCATGAAGCCTGCAGTTGGTCGCTCGTTCTGCTTGATTTGCCCGGCTAAAATGGCAAGGTAGTGGCATGCCAGCACTTCGCAGAGACTAGTTCCGTGCACTCTCAGAAAAGTTTCAGAGGTTGGTGGAAGGGTGCGCCTTCGCGCTTTGTTTTCACTTCTCCTCAGAACTTCAGCTTCCAGATGCCTCCGAACAAGCGAGTCCATGGTCGATGCTGAAACGGATCATGGTGACATTTGGAGTTCACTTACAGCCAGCTTCATGCGGCCTCACGACACACACCTTAAAGCTTCCGCATGCTGGCCAATACATGTTGCTGAAAGAACGAGATCATGTTTTGTAGACTAAGCCCCTGCACTAGGCATATTGGAAGGTATGGAGAGTTAGCATGTGGCCATGTAGACTATAGTGACTGCAATTCCAACTGCTTTCCAAGGGAAGCAGCTTGCCAGGTGCTGTGGCCTCTGAGCAGGCAGGTGTTTTCTCTCTGAGCCGCGCACAGGGAGAGAGGGAGAGAGAGAGAGGGACGGAAGTTGTGTCTATGCCGGTACAGAAACATTCAACATCAAGCATGATGCGAACAGCACGTGCGGTCCAGTGCAAGGTCAGGGATGCAACCAGTACCAGTCCCGAGCGAGAGTCATTTGCTGTTGCAGTTTGGAGTTTTCGAGTTTCGGTATCAAGTTCCGTGTGATCGAGGTGCAGGATTGTGAGTTCCTTGGCTTTTCGATCCAGCATGGCTGGCCGCACTCATGTCTGGTACAATTTATGACATGCCAACAACTTCTGAACTTGACTGGGGCCTTCTCCGAGCTGTTAAGCTTGATGCCTGCAAACCCAGAAGCCCTGAACCACTGACGCCTGCGCAAAAGCTCTACAAACCTGGCCAAAACCCTCAGATCTCTCCGCATTCCACCAAAGCGTGAAGGCTGAACGCCTCAACGTTGAAGCCCAAAACTTGAGATTCCAAGCCGTCACAGGGTTTAGGGTTCAGGGTAACCCTAACCTCAGCACAAGCCTTCAGGTGCGCGGATGCAGCAAGCCCTCCCTGACATTAGCGGGTTGCAATAGCACGTGTAATCCGAGCATGGGGTCAATGGTCGATTACCCCGAGCTGAGCCAGATTGCCCAGGCCGCTTTGGCTACGTAATTTTCAATTTGACGGAAGCTATATTTCAGAGCTGCTTCAATACGAGAGGTTATTCTGTCAAGGCTGACTAGGGCTTAGGCCACGGCCACAGCACAAGAACTACGAGGTTAGAGAAAAGAATGGTCCAAATTGCGCGCGATTCGAATATTCTTGAATAATTGAAAAAATTGAATTTGAAGAGATTTCTGTATATTTACAAGATAAATTTCGTTGATCTTCTTCTTTGTTTTAATTTCAATTACTTTTCTTCAATAGTGGCTTTTATCTTCTGAAAATTCTATTTCTAGGAATTAAGAAGTAGTGAAAGATTCTAAAGAAATATTGGGAGATCTCGACGATGAATTATTATATTGTTTTTCGATGATAATTCTTTTAATTTATTATATATTATTATTATGATGCTATTTAGAAATTTTGTTTGGTAAAAAAAAGAAAGGTAAATTCGTATGATAATGAAAATCTTTTGAATATTATTTTCTCTTATGGTTATTGTCGTGGAAGATATATAATGTTCTTCGAAGATATATGAATTTTTTCTATGTAAAAAAATTTATGTATTTTCTATATGACTTTTTATAAATATAATAAAGATATGTATGTTTATAATGTTGTTATTAATATACGAATTCTGGTGCGAAAATAAATAAAGATTCTATTAGAAAATTATGTTTATAAGAGATAGTGGGTTTATTTGTAAATTAAGATTCATTATTAGGAGATTTTTTCTTTAGCGGGTCATATTTAAAATTTTAATTCATATTTAATACAATTTAATTTTTCTTATATTGATATAAATGATATATAAGGTCTATATATTAGAGAAGGTTGATGATATTTTTCGAAGAAAATGATGCATATTTATTATTAATGATATTTTTGAAAATGATGATTTAAAATGAATATTTCTTGAATTCTTTAGGTAGATTTTAAAATATTCCTCTTGTACAAGATATTGATTTTTAAATTATTTTCGAGAAAAATTTCTTTTAAACATCTGTAAGGTGCAAGATTTTAAGTAATATTATGGAA